AAAAAAGGCAGAAACCAACCCATACAATAGATATAAGTTAACGCAATAAGAAATAATTTTAAAAGTTACTTTGATATTAGGATTTTCCACTGATTTGGTAATAGAACATTATATTGCAAAACGTGACACGATGCAGAGGAAAATCAATTTTAAAATCAGAAAAATCCATTGCAAATACTGTACTTCATTTTGAAAAATTCAATAAATCACAATTTAAATATTAACAGCTGTTGCATTAAAAAGTAGTGTAGAATTATGCATACTAGAGGTCGTCCAGTGGTCGAAACTCGACCAAAAATATTTAATGTACAGACTTCTTTATTTTCATTCCACACTTTGAATAGAACATGTGATTGGAGTTTCTTCCATTTGTTTTGATTTTCTGTTTATATTTCGTTGTTATTTCGTCACCAGCATGGCAACTCATAATATCCATGTTAAATTTTTCAAAATTTTAAATTCATTTTTTGTGCTTATTTTTGAGCCTATTTTAATTTATAAAGGGATTCTGCACACCTACAGGAAAATAGCTTTCTAACAGTATGCGTAGATTTTCCCTACGATGCACACGAGCTGAGAAAAAAGGTTTTAAAGAAACATGCTTGCCTATTAATATATAGATAGATAGATGGTCGTAATGTAAACAAATCTGAAGAGGCAACTTTAAAGGCTTCTGGGGCAGAGCCCCAAGGGTATTTACCTCTTTCCTCTTTTGATGGCTCATCTACAGACCAAGACCTTCCTTTAGAGACCCCTACCGAGTTTCTACGCCCAGCCTTTCTTTCAAATTAGCTGTGACACAAACCCCGTTTTCCTCCATAAGAATAACATGGGATGGGAATTTAAAGGCCACGGGGGCAGAGCTCCAAGGGAATTCACCATTTTTCTCTTTTGATGGCTCATCTACAGACCAAGACCTTTCTTTAGACACCCCTACCGAGTTTCTACGCCCAGCCGTTCTCTCAAAATAGCTTTGACAAAGAACAGTTTCAAATTAATATATAGATGCTTCACAGTGTTGAATACTATCCTACCCACCAACACTGTGTATAGTATGTTTGATTAGGGTGGTGCTTTTCTTTAATGACAAAAACGCGCTTCGACAAGACAATAGTTTCTAAACATATTACCGCGCTTCGACAAGACAATAGTTTCTAAACATATTACCATATGTTATAGAATACATACACGAAACTGAGATTAGTAAATAGAGGAGCCGAAAATCTTTCCATACTTAACAAAAAGAAAAAATTAAATCAAATATGATAATTCTCGACAAATGTTACAATTTGTTTTTCTGCATTAACACATAAGCTACCCTTTTTCATAAATAAATTTTCATTTTATAGCAGCCGACTCACCTTTTTTAACAATTTCTGTATCTTCCTGATCACTTTCATCTTTAATATTTTTCCCTTCATTCTCTTTGGCATGGTTACACTTCATTGTTTTAAACACCACTTCATCCCCAGATTCGATTTTATTTTCTTCATCACTCGTTGTCTTTTGGTCATTATCACAGACACTTTTTTGTTTCGTATCACTGTCTATTTCGTTGTCTTTCTCACTTAGCATTTTCTCCTGTACCTCCCCATTTTCCCGCGGTTTCTTCCCTCGTTTTTTCCGTCTCCCGCCACATGCCAGGGCCCGGCACAGTCCGCACCCCTTGGACTCGCCACCCTCCGTCGTCGCCTTCGCCTTCGCCCTCGTCATATCGTCGCACCGTCGTCCGTCGTCGCCCGCACACTACTGTATGTACGACCTCGGGCTTATCTGTGACTCATTGAGAGAGCGTTATTGTTATCACTGCCGCAACACTTCGCTAGTAAACAACACGGTTGTAAACCCGACACTGTAGAGCGCGGGGCCGACTAGTGAGGAGGGCTCGGAACATGTTGACGAATATGCATCCTGTCAACACGCATTCTCTGCTGTACATTGGAAAACTGTAATGTTGTGAAACACTCAGTTTATGATGTTAATGAGTTGGCAAACTAATTACAAGTTCGTCTTCTTCACATTTGATCATTTGAAAAGGAATGTTCATCAAAGAAATAAAACACCATTATGAGATTGCGAAAACACAAAAGCCCAAGGAACTCGGTGTAGAAAATAATCACTCAACAATGGAATGTTCGAATAAATGAACTGATAAAGCCAAAGTCAGTGAACCACTGACACAATAACCAGTGAGGGATACGCCCCTGCGCCATCTTGGGGTGGGTCCGCGACCAGACACGCGGCGACCTTGGCAATCAACCTGATAACTATTGCTTTAATTGTTTATAAGAGCTTAATTACAGGAGCTTATCACTAAGAGATCGGCTTAGGAAGCCACTCTCCATAAATAAGGTGAATTACAACCGGCGGTAAAAAACTTCGTCTTATATTTACTGCATCTCTTTGTGATACCTATTCAACTATATTTAATAAGCCATAAAATATAAACGTTTCTGCTCATTTTAGGCGAGAAGCTACGCCCACATGTCGATAGTTGCATCTATGTTAATTTGAACTACTTTTACTAGGATGGTAAAGGAAGAAAGCTATTTGTTTGATCTATAATTTTTTACATAAATTGCAAGCTATATTAATTGGGGTTGGTTTGATGTTAACTGTGTAAAGTTGAATCTTTGATAATCCATACTTTTAATTATTTGTATATTCATGTTGAAATTTTAATTTTAACTATTTTTTTTCTCGGACGCGATTGTCGTTTCAAGGTTGTGTGGTTTTAAACTCCCATTAAAAGCTTAACCTATTTTTTCAAGATTTGTTTGTTATTTAATTACAAATATTTCACCACACCACCAACGCATTATCTAACAACATAGATGTACTGTATATTTATGAGAAGCTGTATGATATAAGTGCATGTCTATGACAGGTTGTTAGTAAGTACGGCGCGAGGGTAGGCAATCCAGAGGCTGCCGTATAGTGCGGGTCACTTCACGTGAGCGCCTGTCAAATCTCACCATACGCACATAGGTTTACTGTGGTAATACTGACGGAACTGTATGATGTAAGTGCATGTCTATGACAGGTTGTTAGTAAGTACGGCGCGAGGGTAGGCAATCCAGAGGCTGCCGTATAGTGCGGGTCACTTCACGTGAGCGCCTGTCAAATCTCACCATACGCACATAGGTTTACTGTGGTAATACTGACGGAACTGTATGATGTAAGTGCATGTCTATGACAGGTTGTCAGTAAGTACGGCGCGAGGGTAGGCAATCCAGAGGCTGCCGTATAGTGCTGGTCACATCACGTGAGCGCCTGTCAAATCTCACCATACGCACATAGGCCTACTGTGGTAATACTGACGGAACTGTATGATGTAAGTGCATGTCAATGACAGGTTGTCAGTAAGTACGGCGCGAGGGTAGGCAATCCAGAGGCTGCCGTATAGTGCTGGTCACATCACGTGAGCGCCTGTCAAATCTCACCATACGCACATAGGCCTACTGTGGTAATACTGACGGAACTGTATGATGTAAGTGCATGTCTATGACAGGTTGTTAGTAAGTACGGCGCGAGGGTAGGTAATCCAGAGGCTGCCGTATAGTGCTGGTCACTTCACGCGAGCGCCTGACAAATCCCACCATACGCACATAGACCTACAATGATAATACCATTGACTATATACCTCAATGATAATACTGACGGAATATATTTCCTTGTTGAGTCTTACACTTTTACTGCATACTTTGATACACAATAATAATTATACTTTTTAGTGATCGATATGGAGGCAATCATTGAAACTGATAGTTATATTTTTGAATTAAAAAAAAAAGTTTTTAATAGGATTAACACAACAATACTTAACCGTAGGCTACAGTAATTATTTTTATATTGAACAATATCTAATCATACCGTATTGTTTTGCCGTACATAAGTTGGTACATAATACGTGCGATCTAAAGTATAGTTTGGAAATTCGGAAATTACACAAAAAACCTTTTGAAACGAATTTAAAAGTTAAGATATGCCTGGAATGGAACGAAACTAAAAGTTGGTGAAAATAAAACGGAAAGTAGATAAAAATAGGTCTAATAACACATAAAACATATATTTACACTTAAAGTATTGTCAATTCACAAGACGATAAATACATACAAAATATGTTAATGGTGATGATTCTAGTTTTCGATCGAAATCGATAATAACTTACCATATTTTATATGTATTTATCGTCATGTTAATTAACAGTATAAGTGTAAATTTATTTTAAGTGTAATAAGAAACATTTTTGTTTGCTTTCCGTAAAATTAACAACACGTACAACGCTGATCAAGAAGTTATTAAAAAATATAGCCAAAGCTGATCATGGACTTCACCAATATTATTTAACTACTTGGTTGTATTGCACTGTGCAGATGAAAAGATCGCGTAAATGTTTCGCTGTATAACTTGATTTTGAACTTTTAGGTAATATTTTGATTAATACCTAGTTAGTACCTAACTAAGCTTTTCTCATTCAACCTTCATGAACTAATTAATATCACTTGATAAAGTGTAAATGTTCTGATATTGAAACTGTTGTTCAAGGTTGTTTAATCAGTTAATATTAAGGCAGTAAACTTGAATACCGAGATAAAGACTGTTATCTCAACAAAACCCACTTACTATTGACTCCATAAACAGTTGAAGAGGACTGCGATTTATACTGATTGAATATTTCCATCAAGTACAGTAAAATAAATGATAATTCTTCGTTTGCATATTGGCTGACCAAAAACGTAGATTCAACTTAGTTATATATCGATGCTTAAATGGCATTTTTAGAACACTCTTCTCTAATGAGTAACATTCTACTTATAATGTGTAAATCTTATATTCAATTATTATTATAATTTCTTCGGAGGTTGCGTTTAAGACATCATCATCGATAAAGGCATCGAAATATACTTTGCATGCAATAATAAAACCTCGTTAAAGTTACAACTGGAACGATTCTATAATACGAGTAATAATTTCCTTGTAATGAGGAATGTACTTACTCTTTAAAGGCTCTTTACTTCTTCTCTTGGGCGAACCGTTGGCGTCCCTGAAACAAAATTCTGGGCTAAGTCCAAAGATCACTTATGCTTTTATTAGCTTTCTAAAGTAGCTTAAACTGTATTATAACAATCCAACATTGTTATAAATGAAATTGAAATACATATACAAATCAAGTTACATGCAGTAAAGACAGATAACCCAAAAGTTAGAAGAATTAAAAAAACAACCGAGTTTCGCGTCGTTAATTAACTTTTTATGAATTTGTATGTATAAAAAAAAATATATTTATTGCAAACAGCCGTTGGAATGGAACAATTTAGATGGACCTTATGGTCTACTTTTGTAATAAATATTTGTATCATATTGATTCCTACCATCATACATACAGTAAAAAAGTGCGATTTCACAACCCAGCAATAAATGGCACCACGAATATTGATTGTTATTTGCGAGAAAATACATCTAATTGCTTAATGGAGTGACAATATACGAAATATATAGTGCTTTATTTAACAGACATATAATAGGGGTATAATTTCCACATCATGACAGTTGTCAAACATTTTTTTTCTAGTTAAATTAGTACCGTATCAGTAGTGTAAGAGAAAAAGTGCAACGTATTGTTAATTTACCTAATGATATATCAGATGAGTATCTACGCACGCTGTCAGACTGCGTGGCTGCGTGTGAATGTGCGTATTGCGTGTAGTACAGTACAGTACCAGTACAGTATCAGTATGCCTACTGGCTAGTGTTGTATCGGAGGCGTGTACGTCGCCAGTTCCTGTATATTGTCACCCTCACAACGTTCCCACGGCACGCCCAATGTTCACGCTTCTCGCCATTTTCCGATCATTTGTAAGTGTAAACAAACAACAAACAATGCCCTACATTTTAACCCGGTGATTTCACCAATATATCCTTACTAGCCTAGCCAGTTGTGGTTTAATATAACGGTCTCTAGGAAAATAATGGTTATGAAATCCATACACAATTTTACTCACTAATAACTACTGGTACAGATAACTTTAGCGTAACTAACATAACATACATAACTGCGCACATAACTTTAGTAACACAGAAAATAGGAGGAACACACTTTAAACCACAAATGCAAATTGTGAACAAAATTATGTAAACAAAGAAAACCCAATTTATTAACAGACGTTTCATATGTCCAGATGATGCCTACCAGCAAACCCAGATGGTTTCACCCAAGATGTTTGGAGTAAAAGTATTACTTTATAGTAAGTTACTTTTACTCCACAAATCTTGGGTTTCACCTAACTTTTTCAAAAAATGAAAAGTCAGTTTGCCAATCTACACACCTAGATTAGTCTAAGTTTCACCCGCCGCCGGCTGTTACCGCGTAAACACGGTCCTACAAAAAATAGCCTCGTGGCAGTATTAAAGTGTTTATTGAGTTGAAATGGATTGTGAAATATTCAAAAAGATCCAAACTATGCACTGGCTGAACTAAAACTTCGTATTTGTTTCTTTAAGTATTTACAAAATCATTTTGAAAATCCGTAAATTTGTCTTTTTCACATGTGATTTTTAACTTCTAAATAATAGTTCAAAATTAATTTCCCCCTTCTATTACAAGCTCTGATATGAGAACAAAAAGCACACCATCATTGGAAACTAATTAGTTTAAGAATGTCGAGAGCTTGTACAATAGAGGCATGTTCAATCCCGATCTTTATTTTAATCCATGATCCGCCATCTTGAATTGAAATTCAGCCTGCCGGGTAAAACCCACTTAATGCCACAAATCTTAAAAAACTGTAGCTTTGATAATTGTTTGCTAATTTACATGGATTCCATTGCAATATAATATAAAATCGGTGCAGTAAAACTGTAGATTAAGTATTACAAAGATTTTTAAAACTGAATTATTATAAAGTAGATTAACTGATTTACAATCCAAAGTCAATTGACAAAATTGATCATTTTCGTTACATCCATTTGTACTTTGTTTTTAAAAAATATGATTTTATACAATCGCAAGATACGAAATTTGCACCAAACACCAACAATGGTGATTTGCAGGCTTGGCAAAGACGACAGTTGAAAGTAATAAATTGAAGAAACTACATTATTCAACAGCTGATCCACTAAGGTTAAAAGTAGTGATTTTTCAACTGTCACTACTTGGGGTTTATTGAATGACTTTTATCACAGAAAATAGATCATTTATATATTTTTTACCATTTATTTTTTGGTGGTCTATTGTCTGTGCTTTTAGGTTGTTAGGCTTGAAACAACCTTAAGCCTGCAAACCCAGAATTTGTGCGAAATGCCTTTAGTTAGTTTCAACAAGTGCCTGTTTTGTGAAAAATGACTTTCATTGACCAATGTTTCGCATGTTCTCCAACTTTAAATCTGACGCCAAAGCTGCAAAACTATTATATTATAAAAATATTATATGTGAAATAATAACTAATTGAGCATTAAGTGAGATAGTACTTTTACTATAGAGGATTTAAATATATTATACATTACACAAATGAACTGAGCACAGGGTGTTACTTTTTGCAACGTATTGTGACGTTCTTTATGTTGTATTTAAATTAAGATAAGTAATCAAGAGCATTATGGGAAATTTAGTCACATAATAAATAAAGAGAGACAGAGCTCTTAAATTAAATCACATTTTAACAAGCAGTCAGATTTATATGTATGACTGAAAATACAAATGTTAAGGGTTATTTTCCTGTTATGATTCAAAATTTATATGTACTAGGTAGCGTTCGCAGAGGCATCCACAAAATTGAGCGGAGTCATCAAGGGTTCATATTATATTGTTTTTGTCTTACTGCAGTAAAAACAGTATTTTTTCATGCATGCGCTGCGGGTCTAAAGTAGCATTTTTAATATTTAGGGAGTAAAAATCGTTTTTAGCCTCTATGGAGTAAAAATCAGCTGTTGTCAACTCAGTTGTAAATTTCGATTGTAAACTATTGCATGTATCGAAAATATGTATCAATTTGTGCTTCATAATCATTTTTAACATATTACAGTCTACAGTCTCTTCCCGTAGCATTTTAGCATTGCAGATACATTAATCCATTCCCAAACTCAACACTGCTCACATTTACTACGTCCTTCACCACACCCTACGTCGTGGACCTGTTTCCCTCTCTTCCCATAGGATTTTAGGATTGCAGATACATTAATGTAATTGCCAAAGACAGTTCCCACACTCTGCGCTGTTAGCCTTACTACTTCCTTCACCATTTTCTACGTCATTGGCCTGTTTCCTTCCTTTCTCATAGCATTTAAGTATTACAAATTCACTTATCCATCTGCTCAAACGGTTCCCCCACTCTGCACTGCCAGCCTTTACTACTTCCTTCACCACTTACGTCGTGGACCTGTATTCATCGCTTTCCATAGCATTTTAGTATTTTAGATACGTTAATCTAATTGCAACAAACATCCCCACTGTCCGTACTGCTGGACTTTACTACTTCTTTCACAATTTCCTATGTCTTGGGCATGCTTCCATCCCTTCTCATAGCATTTCAGCATTGCAGATACATTAAAACTGCTACAAACGGTTTCCAGTTCCCACACTCCACACTGCTCACCTTACTACTTCTTTCACCTGTTCCTACGTCGCGGATCTGTTTCCCTCTCTTCCCATAGCATTTTAAGATTGCAGATACCTGAATCTAATCGTCATAAACAGATCCCACACTCCGGACAGCTCGCCTTTACTACTTCCTTCGCCACTTCCCACATCGCGGACCTGTTTTCCTCCCTTCCCATAGCATTTTAGGATTGCAGATACCCTTATCTTATCGTCATAAACAGTTCCCACACTCCGGACAGCTCGCTTTGACTACTTCCTTCACCACTTCCTACGTCACGGGCCTGTTTCCCTCCCTATCCCATAGCATTTTTGATTGCCCATACCCTTATCTAATCGTCATAATAGTTCCAACACTCCGGACAGCTCGCCTTGACTACTTCCTTCACCACTTCCTACGTCGCGGACCTATTTTCCTCCCTTCCCATAGCATTTTAGGATTGCAGATACCCTTATCTTATCGTCATAAACAGTTCCCACACTCCGGACAGCTCGCTTTGACTACTTCCTTCACCACTTCCTACGTCACGGGCCTGTTTCCCTCCCTATCCCATAGCATTTTTGATTGCCCATACCCTTATCTAATCGTCATAATAGTTCCAACACTCCGGACAGCTCGCCTTGACTACTTCCTTCACCACTTCCTACGTCGCGGACCTGTTTCCCTCCCTTCCCATTGCACTTAAAGATTGCAGATACCTTAATCTAATCGTCATAAACAGTTCCCGCACTCCGGACTACTCGCTTTGACTACTTCCTTCACCACTTCCTACGTCGCGGACCTGTTTTCCTCCCTTCCCATAGCATTTTAGGATTGCAGATACCCTAATCTAATCGTCATAAACAGTTTCCACACTCCAGACTGTTCACCTTTACTACTTCCTTAACCTCTTCATACGTCACGAACCTCAAGCTAGTGTCGTCATTTGATTATAGTACCTGGGGACCGAGCTTTGCTCGGGAAAAATCATTAGTTCACTCTGAAAGCACCGTAGTATTGGAGATACATAAATCCACACATCTACATCCTACACAATTTCCTACGTCATGGACCTGTTTCCCTCCATTCCATTGCATTTAAAGATTGCAGATACCTTAATCTAATCGTCATAAACAGTTCCCACACTCCGGACTACTCGCCTTGACTACTTCCTTCACCACTGCCTACGTCGCGGACCTGTTTCCCTCCCTTCCCATAGCATTTTAGGATTGCAAATACCTTTATCTAATCGTCATAAACAGTTCCCACACTCCGGACAGCTCACCTTGACTACTTCCTTCATCACTTCCTACGTCACGGACCTGTTTTCCTCCCTTCCCGTAGCATTTTAGGTTTGCTGATACCTTAATCTAATTGTCATAAACATTTCCAACACTCCGGACAACTCGCCTAGACTACTTCCTTCACCACTTCCTACGTCGCGGACCTATTTTCCTCCCTTTCCATAGCATTTTAGGATTGCAAATACCTTAATCTAATCATCATAAACAGTTCCCACGCTCCAGACAGCTCGCCTTGACTACTTCCTTCACCACTTCTTACGTCACGGACCTGTTTCCCTCCCTTCCCATAGCATTTTAGGATTGCCCATACCCTTATCTAATCGCCATAAACAGTTCCCTCACTCCTGACAGCTCGCCTTGACTACTTCCTTCACCACTTCTTACGTCGCGGACCTCTTTCCCTCCCTCTCCATAGCATTTTAGGATTGCCCATACCCTTATCTTATCGTCATAAACAGTTCCCACACTCCGGACAGCTCGCTTTGACTACTTCCTTCACCACTTCCTACGTCACGGGCCTGTTTCCCTCCCTTTCCCATAGCATTTTTGATTGCCCATACCCTTATCTAATCGTCATAATAGTTCCAACACTCCGGACTGCTCGCATTTACTACTTCCTTCATATCACTTCCTACGTCACGGACCTGTTTCCCTCTATTCCCATAGCATTTTATGATTGCCTTTACTACTTCCTTCACTACTTCCTACGTCACGGACCTGTTTCCTTCCCTTCCCATAGCATTTTAGGATTGCAGATACCTTAATGTATTCGTCATAAACAGATCCTAGACTTCGCACTGCTATATCGAGTAATCTTAAGTATAATCTTTGCTCAATATTAACAAGTGATGTTTTTCCTTTTGTACTGTATTTGTAATTTCCTAGTATACTGTGGGTAGTTGGCTTATTATGAACACATGCTAAAACTTCAAATCTTTTGTTTACTTTTTACTTGTTATTTAATTCAGCCAACATGGTTACCTAGCAACCCATACGACTAATGTTAAGAAAATGTGATTTTCAGTTTCATTTTTCTCCGGATTCCTGAGAGACTTTTTTAACGCCATATAGATGTTGGCACTCACCGATATGGTCTTTATCACCATGCAAAATTTTAAAACGATTGATTCAGCCGTCTAGGAGGAGTTTGCGTATTACGAAATGCATAAAAGTCGACGTATAAGAGCTTCGCTCGCTCCGCTCAATGACTGAAAATGCAAATGTTAAGGGCTATTTTCCTGTTATGATTCAAACTAAAGATAACCAAAGAAAAACAATCAACAAAGATTGTAATTGTTATGCAGTTTATTAATTGTCATTAACACTCGTTAAACACATCAGCGGGTTTTAGAACTCGTAAACTCGTAAAGATAAAAATGACAATGTGCAATGTGTAAATGTTAGCCAATATTCATCAATTTAAAATGATAATGACATATTCGTAAAAAAACTGATTAGTTAGATCGTTGAGCTAAAGACTATACAAGTTATTATGGTAGGAAATACTTGTGTTTATTTATTCTATGACACAAACAATACTCGATGTTAACCACGCTGCGATCTGTGAGGAAACTCTGGAACTACCTCAGTCGTCGAGCACTGCTGCCATCTGCCGGTACAATCGCCAATTATAGGGCAAAGTTGTACTGTATTTTCATGCATAACATTATTCCTTCTGTGCGGATTTTAAATAATAATTGTACTCGTCTCAATGGATTTTTTTAAAAGGAATTAATGCCTAGATATTTGTCTTTAAAATAACTGAAATGATGAGTAATTTTTACCGTAATCCATTGCTCCTTTGCCCTTTGCTGCTCGATTGCTATCCATTAGTATACGTTACGAAATAATAAAATGTATTTTAGTTAAAAATGTATACCAACGCAGCGGAGTTATTATGTCACAAAAAATAATAAAGTAGGAAACGAGTTTTAATTGGACTGACAAAGCTAAAAAACCAACTACTATAATTGTCTGTTTTAGCGAATTTCCCATATAGGGAATAAGCTATTACCGTAGGTCTCATGGTAAGACCTAGACCCGGGACCGATTTACTTTTTCGTTTTGAGGTCCCCAGAGGGCAAAAACACCATCCGTTCAAATTCATATATATATATATATATATATATATATATATATTTATATATATATATATATATATATTTATATATGTGTCCGTTAGCGCGATAACTCGAGCAAAATTGATCCGATTTTGATGAAATTTGGTACAAACGTGTAAACCTACGTTTATTCGAACGAGTTCGCGAACCAGCATAATCGGACCATGGGATCAGGGGTTTATGGGGGGTTTTATGGGGTAAAAATGGGTTTTCCTCATTTTTGACCCTAAAAACTTTAAATTTCTAAATTTCTCTCTAGACTATTTTGAAGAGCTTTAAAAAACAAATAATTTAGTATATTGAAGTGTTTTTGAATGTTCATTGACTACGGAGAAAATTAAAAAAATTTTAAATTTAAAATTCCCATGTTATTCTTATGGAGAATAAATAAACTGTTCTAGTTTGCTTGTTTATGGATATATTTTAATCAAATTTGGCAATTTGGTTTATTTCATACTAAGCTATCAATATTTCAATTGAAAAAAAACACACCTCAACATCTTCCCCGTAGCAGCAAACCTAACTACTCACTAAAATTAATGTTATTTAAATAGGAAATAAATCTGAAAATTTATAGGGAATATTTTAGTAGAAATCAAGCCGGGTAAATGGAAATTCGCTTAGTATGCAGGTTTGCTGCGACGGGGGTTTTGTATATACTTAGTTAATTAGTTATAGAGATCAAGCAAGGATACAAGAAACAGTCCGTTTTTGTTACTTTGAGAAATATTAAAGCGTTGTATATGGTTTTAACTTATGCTTAACGACACTGTAGGAATTGTTTTGCCTCTTATTCGATATTAGATTAATTATCAACGTCTTCAACTAATTAGTTTAAAGTTTAATACGAGTATTTAAATCACATTGGCTTAAGATTGAATACTCGTCGGCCCTACTGAGTCATTCTAAAAGTTAGGCAAAATTCTCCAAAACATTTTAGCGAAGGCTGGGATGATATAGCTCCGAATGGGCGTCTGCAGGATTTCCTGAGCGCTTCTAGAGCTCTGAGCCTTCGATAAAATTTTAATAAATTGATCAGTCAAAGCCGTGACAACTTTGTCGACCCCTGGATTTTTCTCGGCTCCTTCTGAGCACTCCGGGGAAGAAATTCGAGTGTGGCCGGTTCAAGGGGTGGGCCTAGCCTGACTTAGGTGAATACTAGTTTATTCCCCCCCTAGAAATTAGCGTCACAGCTTAATGCTTGAATACATGTAGAGGGTTTAAAATAAATAAATTTCGAAACTAATTATTACAAGAATCAGATAAATATGTGTATAAAATTATCACCTATCTGGCTGTAAGGATCCTAATATTTTACCTAGGAAAGCCACCAGGTTCTAATAATTATGAACCGAATAATGCATTATGTATCTTGCTAATCAATTCGATTTGTAACGCCATAATTTGGTAAATGTTTAAACATCAACTAAGTTGAAAACAACTACATTTTAACGTTCAACCCGACCTCATCAAACCAAATAGACTTCATTATCTGTTACTTTCAAGGTCCAATACTTTTTTATGTCCTTCCTTTGCATTGTAAGCAATAGGCCTTATCCCGGAACAGTTTTACATATCAGGTTAGGCCTAGAGAGGGTCACAGAATTATGAAATAGTCAAAGCTATCGGTCATTGCCGGGGATCAACTTGGGCCCCGTAGGGATCAGCTCCCTAAGGCCCGATAGTAACCTATACCATAGTACTATAGTATTGTAGTATTGTAGTACTGTAGTACTCACTGGTTAAGCCCCAGCCTCAGCGTGTCCTCCACACTCCTCAGCAACGCATGGCTCTCCCCATTAGTGAGGCTCTTGGTCTGTTGTCCGTTGATGGAAGTGATGACGTCACCCTCTCTTATACCCCTCTGAGCCGCCTTGCTGCCGGGGTTCACCTGGAACAGAACATACAAAACGTCATTAACGCCTCAGGAACTTAGTAAACAACATGCCAATATCAATTATAAAAACACTTACAGAGTCATCCATCACTAAACTAGTAGGCTACCGGTACTTAATGTTTTTAAATAGACTACTAAGAATAAGTGGAAACAAATAAATAACTTTATTAATTACCGTTGGGAATATTTTGTTCAAGTGGCCACTCCGGAATTTCAACATGATTCTTGAATGTGTAGTTGATCTTACTATAGAGATGTCAAGGGTAAACACCACTGAATGTCAATAACTAAGTAAGGATGTTAAATCATGTAAACATCTCCGTTAATCATATAAAGTGAAATTTACAGAGAAACCCCGCCATTAATAGTAAGCTACAACTTGAAAAATACTGTAAACGCAAATTTAAATCACAAAAACAAACATATATTGACACGTTAGAGGTGAACTTGAACATGACGACCGAGCGAGTGTGGAAAGGAAACTAGCGTTGTGAAGCAAGAAGACGCTACAAGGAATCCTAAGTGGGACATATTGTCATGCAGGAGGGATACCATCGGAGGGTTGGGCGACCAGGAATGTGAACGGAGACGATGACGTAGTGCACTCAGCAACAGTGACGTCAGCACGTCAGCTGCAGATGCAATCAGTCAGCACCGAGGACAAATACAAGGACATGAGTACAGTCTGTCTTAAGGAGGCACCCAGCTCGGAGAGGCTAGCCCTCCCGGATTTGTTAGAAACACTTATTTCAAACAATTTAATAATCGAAGATTTTTCCAGTATGTTTCCAGAGCACGACAACTTTTAAGAAAATCTTTAATAATGCAACTTAATAATGGGATGGCCACTTACCACTTAAGTTCAGTGCCACTTATAGACATGACGTAGTAGACATATAGGCAGTCAGTAATTCTGATGATTAATATAATGTATTGGGGTCTATAATTAAAATTGTTATTTTTTCAACCACCTAAGGTATTAAATATTTTGATGTTATTGAACATAGTTAAATGACAAATCATGATCCTCTCAGACCAACAACAGGCAGTTTGGTGAAAATTGACAATTGATGCAACATCTTTACCCCATCATCGTGTTTTAACGATAAAAAGATCTAAACTATGTTATGGTAATGTACACCATTTCTTATGACATTCGTATTTCATTTTAGTAAGTCATTAGTTTATTAATTAAACGTCCTGAGGATTGGTAAATCAAAATACTAAGACTCCAGAAATGAAACTCTTATATAAAAAGCACGAGAGCAAACGTGACGATTTGGTGCGAGATGGCCGGGTCTGTTGTTGGCATTTGTTACGGAGTTGGTCCGTCACGGTGTTACGATATAACGGTCAGCTGATCAACAATGGCATGAATAATACAGCTGACCATCCTATCCCACCTCTGCCTCATAACATCTCGTCTCATGGCGTGGCGAGGTGCCGTTCTGTCAGTGTCATAGACAGGAGCCAAACTAAGATGGACATGACCAAAAGCCAGACTGAGAGGTAGGCATTTCGGCAGTCATTTATACAGCAGTTCATGATCAAAGAAAACCCAGGATGAAAAGAAAATATCAGATGAGCCCCATTAATTGTAATCTATAACCGGATACATGGATTTTGTGGTTTGTTAATTAAGTTGCTTGGTTGCTTGACACCTGTATATTACGTTATAGGCGTGTTGGTGCAAAGCTGGACCATACTTTACACGTAGCTTGTTTGTTGTTAATAATACGTAATCAACCTGTAAATTATATGTAATGTGTACTCGTATATTATATAAACATTGTGGATGAAATAATGGAACTTTTAATAACATTGTAAGCAAACCCAAGGTACATAATGCAATGAAATGCTACTGTAATGTCTATGGTATGTAATGTCTGTAATGTAATGTCTATGGTAAACACAGACACTGATAAAGAAATGATAGGAAAGATAGTACCAGGGAAACTACCGATTAGGTAACGTGGCGCGTGACAAAATACCTTGACAGCTAACGAGGCACAGATTACGACGACGGCCTGGCTAGCATGTGACAGTGACAGTGACAGTGACAGTGAGGGCGAGGTAGTATAACTGCAGCTATGAGGCTCTGGTCCGCGCTAAGGTCCGTATCTGTGGAGCCAATGCTGCTCATGTACTACGCCGCGGCGTCCATCACTTCCTTCGCCAGCTACAACCTACTGCTGCAGAAGATATGTAGTCCTGACCATCCTGACCAGGACGCCGTGTGCGACGAGGAGGAGGCGCAGAAAGTCATCACATCCATCAAAACCTGGATGGACACGGCGGAACACGGTATCCCGGTGTTCTTCATACTCTTCGCAGGCGCTTGGAGCGACTCCCACGGAAAACGAAGAAAACCCCTGATGCTATTACCAGTCATGGGAGAAATAATTACGTTGTTCCTCCTCACTTCGAGCGTCTTCTTCTGGAGGTGGTCACCCCAGTTTACAGCTTTTCTTCAAGCAATATTTAGAGGCATGACTGGAGGACGAGCATGTTTTTCTTTCGGCGCGGTAACTTATATATCGGATAACACGTTTCCTGCTCAAAGGACGTTTCGTTTGGCGATAATAACGGCTTTAATTTTCATCGCATCGCCTGTAGGAAATGCTGTGGCAGGATACTTGAGGGCCGATATGGGGTTTTACGTTGTGTTCAACTTGTGTTTGGTCTTAAACTTGCTCGCTTTACTGTCAGGACTCATTCTGCTAAAGCGCTACAGTGACGAAGTGCCGGTGGAGAAAGCGTGCGGATACATGGATGTAATGCAGATCTGTAGAACACTATGCAAAGGAAGAACCGGATACAGGAAAACCACACTCTTCCTCATGATGGTGGTATCTCCTATCTTCGGAGGCTGCTTGATCGGGGAATACTCGGTCCTCTACTTGTACGCCAGGTACAAGTTCCACTGGGGAGAGACTTACTACGGGTTCTACTCAGCCTTCAGGATGTCCATCACCTTCCTCGGGACGTTAGTGTCTGTGTGGTTGCTGTCCCGTGTGCTGCACGTTTCTGACATGGCCATAGGCTTGTTGGCCTCAACCATGCAAGTTATTGCTGCTCTCGGCAACGCTCTCACCACACAGCCCTGGCAGATGTTCCTCTATCCTTGTCTTGATATCATGCACGGCGCCATATACACCGTAGGGCACTCTATCGTCTCCAAGGTAGGCCCACTCGTATTTTTCTGTAAGATTTTCAACGTGTGTATCAAAGCACATCATTGGAATTATATTGCACATCCAGTGAAATAAACATCCCCGGAAAAGACAAATTTATGTAAAACCGAGACATCTTAAATGCTAGTTTTCCTATGTTGCAGTGAAAACAGTGTTTTAAATCTATTTTGGGGTTTCAAGGGTGTAAAACATTAAAATCTCTTGCTTTCTTAAAGCGAAATCCAATCACTGGCAGATTGGCCTTTAATGTGAAATGTGAAAGAAGGGCCTGCCGTATCAAGTACTACCCATGGTACTGACAAGACCATGGGTATGCCTACTGTACTGTATCCCACTGTAAGCCTGTATCGTATTTGAGGTTTCATGACCCTTATGTGCTAGTGCAGGTACTGAGTGTACTGAGCACCGTGGATTCACTGATCCTCTTTTATCGTATTTGATGTTTCAGGTAGTGGAACCACACGAGCTAGGACAGGTACTGAGTGTACTGAGCACCGTGGATTCACTGATCCTCTTTTATCGTATTTGATGTTTATGGTAGTGGAGCCACACGAGCTAGGACAGGTACTGAGTGTACTAAGCGCAGTGGATTCACTGGTACTCTTTTATCGTATTTGATGTTTCAGGTAGTGGAACCACGAGAGCTAGGATAGGTACTAAATGTATTAGGCACCGTGGATTCACTGATCCCCTTTTATCGTATTTGATGTTTCAGGTAGTGGAGCCACACGAGCTAGGATAGGTACTGAGTGTACTGAGCACCGTGGATTCACTAATCCTCTTTTATCGTATTTGATGTTTCAGGTAGTCGAACCACACGAGCTAGGATAGGTACTTACTGAGTCTACTGTGCACCGTGGATTCACTGATCCTCTTTTATCGTATTTGATGTTTCAGGTAGTGGAGCCACACGAGCTAGGATAGGTACTGAGTGTACTGAGCACCGTGGATTTACTAATCCTCTTTTATCGTATTTGATGTTTCAGGTAGTCGAACCACACAAGCTAGGATAGGTACTTACTGAGTCTACTGTGCACCGTGGATTCACTGATCCTCTTTTATCGTATTTGATGTTTCGGGTAGTGGAGCCACACGAGCTAGGATAGGTACTCAGTGTACTAAGCACCGTAGATTCACTGATCCTCTTTTATCGTATTTGATGTTTCAGGTAGTGGAACCACACGAGCTAGGATAGGTACTGAGTGTACTGAGCACCGTGGATTCACTGATCCTCTTTTATCGTATTTGATGTTTCAGGTAGTGGAACCACACGAGCTAGGATATGTACTGAGTGTACTGAGCACCTTGGATTCACTGATCCTCTTTTATCGTATTTGATGTTTCAGGTAGTGGAACCACACGAGCTAGGACAGGTACAGTGGAACCTTGATAAGAAGACCCTCGATAACAAGTCGCCCTTGATAACAAGTGTCGTTTTCAAACCCCCTTAAAACTATTTACCCCTAATCACATGTTATTACAAACCTCGATAAGAAGTCAACCTTGATAACAAGTCTTATTTTACAATCCCCATGAGAGTCTTGTTATCAAGGTTCTACTGTACTGAGATTGTACTGAGCACCGTGGATTCACTGATCCTCTTTTATCGTATTTGATGTTTCAGGTAGTGGAACCACACGAGCTAGGACAGGTACTGAGTGTACTGAGCACCGTGGATTCACTGATCCTCTTTTATCGTATTTGATGTTTCAGGTAGTGGAACCACACGAGCTAGGACAGGTACTGAGTGTACTGAGCACCGTGGATTCACTGATCCTCTTTTATCGTATTTGATGTTTC